AAACTTGAGGCCAACCTGTGGATTTCTTGTACCAGCTAAGAAAATCACAGAGGCCATGCACTTTCCCTCCCCCATCCTACATAATGACACACTAGAAAACTCTTTCCAGAGTCATGAAAATACTTCCTGAGTTCCCAGCTTCCATTATTTTTTACAGCCCTCTAGCTCCCATCCTCTCCCTGATAACCTAAAAGGATTTGAGCCCTCTGACAGACAAAAAGCCCATACTGGAAGAGAAGGGACAAGAAAGGGATTGGAGCTTTCCTAGGGGAGAGACAGAGGGAAAGAATAAAACCTAAACCAGTTTTTCTTGGCCCAAGATTTCAGGGAAAGAAAAACAAAACTGTGCCCAAAGGGCCTCACCTGCTCCTGGTTGGCATACCAAAATATATAACTCGGTTCTGAGGTGTCCTTGTAGAGGTGTTTTCTAGGTAGGCTCTTTCTGTCCTCAACAAAGAATTGGTCAAGACAAGTGCAAAAGGTAGCAAGATTTTACATTTATTAAAGGTAGGAGAAGAAACATGCTGTTCAGAGTGAATGTGGACCAATTAAAAGTAGATGATCTCATTCTGTAGAGTGGACCACTATGAAAGAGATAGCATAGCAGTTTAATGGTGGCCATCTTTTCTATCTCTTACTCCTCACGCAGATGTCAGGTCTAAGGCATCCTATCAAAACCCTACTTGATTTCTCACAAGAATTAAAGATAGCAATCTCTGATTAGTCCCAGATACAGGCTTTAGGAGCTGGCTGTCTTTCAGTGCTTCTCCAAGATCTGTTATTGACAGGACATGCCCACTTTCTCAGCTGCTTTGACACACCTAATCTCCTGCCTCAGAAAGAACAGAGTTTTGGGTTTTGTTTCTTTTGGTACTGGGGACTGAACCCAGAACCTCGTATGAGCTACATCCCTGGCCCTTTTATCATCATCATCATCATCATCACCATCATGATGTACCAGGGATCAAACTCAGGACCTTGTACTTCCGAGGCAGGTGTGCTGCCACTGAGCTAGATCCTCAGCCCCCTTTTATATTATTTTGAAACAGGGTATTGCTAAGTTGCCCAGGCTGTTTTCAAATTTATGACCTTCCTGCTTCAGCCTCCAAAGAAGCCAGAACTACAGGTATGCATCACCATACCCAGCTTGGAATAGGATGTTTCTGTTTGACTGACCTAATGAGGAGAGGGTTAGGGCAAGACCAGAAAGCCCAGTTTAGAGACTTTTAGAGATGCCAATGTGATACCCAGGAAGAGCCCGAGAGCTGGCAAAGGGACATCTGCATCCAGGGTTTGGATCATCAGTGTCTGGAGGTAAAAGAGATAACGAGGAGCCCAGGACAAGGTAAGGTTATCCTGAGTTAGGGTAAGCCCTAAATCCAATGACTTTACAGAAAAGGAGAAAGACAGAAAAGAAAACATGGAGACAGAGACCAGGTGAAGTTGGAGGCAGAGACTGGATGAAGCAGCCACAAGCTGCCTGGAGCCTCACAAAACAGAAAGGGACCAGGAAAGACCTTCCCTTGAGCCCAACAAAGTCTCCTACAACAGGACACACCCTGGTTGGCAGGGTCTCCAGTCTTATGGAGGGGGGATTGCCCTTTCTTCCTGTGTCTTTTAGCAATACTCCTGACCGTGGCTTCAGGAATGGATGGGAAGTCAAAGGCAACAGAGCCCCTTCTCAGTAGTGAACAGTGAGGTATAAGTTTTTGAATTCTGGAATTTAGAAACACTGGCCAAAGTGGAGATTGTCCCAGCTCTCTGCCTCATTTCTTTACCACTCTCTAGGGAGACACGCCCTGAACCACAGCAAACCTGGGAACCACCCTTGCTGGCTGTGGCTGAAGGCAACCCAGGAGAAGAGAAACCATTTCCTTTGTGGTACTTCCTGCCCAAAGCAGGAGCCACAGGCAAGCAGGATGAGAACCTGCTCCAGGAGAAGTGAGATTGTTTTCTTAAGGGAAAGGGATTTTTATCTGATGGCTGACTTTGAAAACAGCTTTTCATTATTTGATCTGGGAGAAATGACTGTAGTAATTTCCAGCAGTGTGTGTGTGTGTGTGTGTGTGTGTGTGTGTGTGTGTGTGTGTGTGTGTTTTGCCAGGTGTGGTGGTTCACAACTATAAATAATCTAAGCACTCTGGAGGCTGAGGCAGAAGGATCACAAGTTTGAGCCCAACCTGGGAAATTTAGTGAGACAAGTCTCAAAAGAAAACAGGGCTGAGGATGTAGCCCAATGCAAAGGCCCTGGGTTCAAACCCCAGTACCACAGCAAGGTAGCTGATTTCCTAGGCCTGGAGGTAACTTTCCTTCACCTGATTCTCTTCTGGCCCTGCCCTTGGATCCCCTATGCAGCACCCAGATGGCATGAAGCCTCTGGGCTCAGGTTTCTCAGCCAGCCCTTACTCCTCTCTGAGGAGTCAGGTTCTATTTATGACTGAAAGGCAGAACCTGCTGCCAATTCTGAGGTGTGAGCTCCTGGAGCCATAAGAAATTCTGCCAGCTGGGAGCCTAGCACAACAGTCCTCAGCTCCTCCAAACCTGCAGCAAAGAAAGACAGTGGCTGTGGAGACAGTGAGCACACACACCAGCTGCATCCCCTGCTGCCAGCCTGGCCATTGCCTTGGTTTCCCTTTTGTGAAACAGCAATAGCTACAGTGCAAGAGCCTCAGGACCAGCACTTGGGGGTACACCGTGTTACCAGCACCCTCCTCTGAAAGGAGTCTGGCCAGGAAGAGGAATCCATACCCAGACTGTATTTGGGGAACAGGGCCCCAGGTCCCTGTCTTCTCCTTGTCCTCATTTCTCGCCTAGTAGGGAGCCTTCAGGAGGACCAAGGCCTACAGGACACTGTGCTAGCTGCCAGAGTGGGCAGGTAGAAGCCAGAATTCTTGGGGGTGAGGTCACTGTATTTCAGTGTTTGTCCTCTGGAGTGAGAAGCACAGGAGTGGTTCCCACACAAGGTTGGGACAGGTGGGTGGGTGCGACCATCTATAAAAAGTCTTTCTCCCAAACAGATGTGACTGAAGAATACATTTGATTCAGGATTGTAAAAGCAACATGAGGGCCATTAATGCTAATGCACTATTTTTAGAAGTTAGCAAGGCATGACTGGACAAGGCTGAAGTCTCAGCACTCTGGAAGGCTGATACAGGAGGAGTGGGAGTTCAAGTGCGGCCTGAATGACTTTTTGAGACTCCCATCTCAAGATAAAAAAATTTTTTTGAGACTAGTTCAGGCTAGCCTCAAACTCATGGCAATCCTCCTGCCTCAGCCTCCTGAGTGCTGGGACTACAGGCATGGGCCAAGGTACCCATCTCCATCAAGATAAAGGATTTTAAAAGGGCCGGCTGGAGGAATGCGTGGTGGCACAAACCTGTAATTCCAACACTTGGGAGGGTGAAGAAGGAGGATCACTGTGAGACTGAGGCCAGCCTGGGCTACACAGTGAGTTAGTGAGTTCAAGTTCAAAACCAGCCTAGGGCTGTGGATTTAGCTCAGTGGTGCTGCCACCTGCCTCGAAAGTGCAAGGTCCCAAGTTTCTCAGTTAAAAAAAAAAAAAAAAGACCAGCCTAAACTACATAGGAGACCCTGTCTCAAAAAGTCTATCTATATGACTGGGGATATAGTTTAGTGGGAAGGCCTAGGGTTCAATCCATAGTACCCAGCCAAAGAGTCAAAGTTTGTGTATTTAAACTATGAGAGAACAGTGAGGGATAGGTAATAAACCCAGAAAACCAGTGAAGAGAGATGGCCATACAGAGGCCTGCCTTGTGTTTACAGCCCCAAACTGGAGACAATCCAGATGTCCTGACTGGTCCTCAGCTCAGCAACCGTGGGCCACTGGCGTACACAGCCAGCTGCCACCCTGGGAAGGTTTCCAGGAACACAGTCCTGATTATCGGCTTTCCCTAACAGTGGTCTCCAGCACTTGCCGTGGAAGCCACAAGACAGGCAAAGCCCGAAAGGTCTACTATCTGGCTCTCCCAAGAAAACTCACAAGCCCTTGAAACAGTGAATAAATCAACTCATTGTGGAACCTTCACCCTGTAAGGAGGACAGCTTCTTTCAAACTTGGGTAATCGCTTGAGCCCTGGAGTTGGAAGCCAGCCTGGGCAACATAGCCAGACCCCATAATGAGGAAGGAGAGAGGGGCAGGGAGAGGAGAGGGAAGAGGGAGAAAGAGAGGAGGCAAGAGAAAAGAAAGAAACGGCTCTTAAACGTTGCCATCTATATTGTGTTGTGGAAGGGCAGAAACATACTTGTGAATCAGGTGCGGGCAGGGCCGCCCAGGGCAAGAGGGAATTTTCCATTATGGTAACAATTATACAACTGTATGCTTGTCAAAACACAGACGGGTGCAATTTAAAAAGGCGAATGTTATGGTTTGTAAATTATACTTCCATTTTACAAAAACAAAGAATTATCCGATCCAGTATTTCCAACGCACAGGCAGGTGGGAGAGAGCCCCTGCGAGCTCCGCAGGGAGGAGATGCGGCGCTGCACTACGCCGCAACCAGCAAGGGGGAAGGAGCGCAAAGGCTGCCCGCGGGGTGGGGTAGGGAGGCCGTGGACCCGGCCTGCGATTCCTGGACCTGTCCACGCCGATGGCGGACGGGGGACGCGCGAATCGGCAGACACAGAGCCGAAGCGGCCAGAAGAGGATCTCTGAGGTCCCGGGCGGGGACCGGGAGGGCCAGCGAGGCCTAGCTCGAGAAGAACGGAGGGTGGCGAGAGTGGCCCCTCCCTCGAGACTGACCCACCGTACCCCGAGCTACGACCCCTCCCCTCACAGCAGGCCCCTCCCCCAGATGTAACCTTCCCTCCTCCCCCGAGGTGCGGACCTTCTTCTATTTGCAGCCTTCCCGCAACATGAGACCCCCGCCCCGACAAGCGACTCCTACGGGACACCGGGACCCACCCAGCGATGGGAACCATTCTCCAGACGCCGCTCGGCTGGCATCTGCTTCACCCTGTCGCGTGACGCACCGCTGACCCCGCCCCCTCCTCCCCACAGCCAGCTCCTCATTGGACCGAAGCTTTAAGGTGGAGCACTCGGGATTGGGGAACGCAGCGTTGCTGTCGCCTCCGACCGCGATTGGCTGGCGTCGCGGGGTTCTCCGGTCTCGGCCTTGGAGCCGCGGACGAGGCCTGGGGCAGCGGCGCGAGGG